CTGACCCCCATCTCAATGATTTAACTGAGGTCACTTTCTTTTTCCCTTGAGAACATTCATGATCGAGCAGACTCTTTGGAGTTGTTTTTTGTAGACACTAAGTCCACCATCGCCCCAGACTGCCAGCATTCGAATAAAAGGCAACTGTCCTTTCTACCAACATTTGTCATTCCTAAGTATGGATTTTTGAGCGGCTAGCTGCTGGACCTGAGTTTGGTAACAGATTTTGACGCCCAACGTGGAGCTGCACTCTCTCAGTGGTCAGGGTCCTCTGGGCTTCCTTCTTGCAGCTTCTGGCGGTGGGAACACACAGGGTCGAGTGTGAAGAGCCAGCTGCCTGTGGCAAGCTGGCCAGAAGGGGGTTCTCAGGAAAGTCCCAGCAGTTGCTGGAAATGTTCATCCTGGGGATTCTGTCCATCTGTCCCCTGCCCAGCACTGGCTGCCAGTTTTCACTTGAGGTTAGTGGGGATGAATTCTAAGTTCTAAACTGAACTTTAATATTTGAAAGCAAACCCTGGATCTTACCTGTTAGAAGTAAAATTGTAATACCCACTTTCCTCTAGGACTTCTTCAATCACAGTCTAAAATGGAAAAAGAAATCAGGTTAGTACTGAATTAAAAGCAACAAAATAGAATCATTCAGAGGCGCTGCAGAAACCTCACCTGCATCTGTTCATACGTGATGGCCTCCTCCAGATCAAAGCAGGTGGGTATATCTGAAATAGACAAATTATTGCAAGTCTGGCACTTGGTTCATTTTTTTTAGTTGGATTTTATTGGCAATTATAAGCAGGCAGTGAAAATGGTCAATTACTTAATGATGAATATGAGTACTTAGAAACACATTCCAAATTATCTTGGCTTTGAATACTCAGATGCTTTGTTTCTCTTCCTTTAATAGCTTTCCACTTTTGGGGTGGCCATCAAAAAATAATACTCAAGATATAAAGGCGTTGGATAAACTAGTCAATTAACTTGTGTGTGTGTGTGTGTGTGTGTGTGCTCGCGTGTGTGTGGGTGTGTGGGTGTCTTATGAACAGGAAAGGAATGACTCTAAACACAATACCTGAAAGGCAAAGAAAAGATTAAGAAACTCTCCCTCATCCACAAGACAAAAAGAGTGGAAATGTACTAGCAAGGATAAATTCTTAGTGGAGGAAGTAATAGTCAGTGAATGACAACAAAGATCTGACCCCTTCCATTGGCTGCCAGGAGGGAAATAAAATACATTTAAAGCTAGAGACAAGATTTCTTTTCCTGTTTAGTCTGAGTATGATATGCCATTGCTTAACATACTCTGGTGCCACCCAAAGCAGTGTTGACCATATTCCACTCTAATCAATCAACATGTAGAGGCCAGGAGCTCCCCTCACACTCAGGAGAGAGAAGAGAACGAGTTGAAGGCTGAGGGGAGGTGTGAGGATGTGAATCCTGGCAGTATGCTTTTTAAGCCTGGTTTAAAGCCCAAAGTGCTTCATGGTTCTGCTGTCTTCCCTTCTGCCCAGCCTGCTGTGACAAGGGACACACTCAGTCTGCTCTGGGGTGGTGTGTCCAGCTTCTGGAAAAGCCTGTCACGTCCCTCTTGGACCACTGAGAGATTTCACCTGGAGCTCTTCCTTCAACGGAGCTGCTGCTGTGAAAAGTGGCCTGTGACTGACTGACCTGCCCTGGGAGATACTTTTAAAAGCAAGTGACTTTTCCATTCTAAGTCTGTATCTGTTTTGTAAATAAGTTCAGCTGTCTTATTTTCTTTTTAGATTCCACATACAATTGATGTCATGTGGTATTTGTCTTTCTCTCTCTGACTTACTTCACTTATTATGACAATCTGTAGGTCAATGAATGATGCTACAAATGGCATTATTTTAAAATCTTTTTTATGGCTGAGTAGTATTGCATTGTGTATATATGCCACTTTATATTAAGTGAAGTCACTCAGAGAAAGACGAATGTTGTATGATGCCACTTATATGT